TGTGTTTTTGTCAGGCAGAAATTTATTTATACCCCCTTAGGGTGTAAGAGACCGGAATTTTCCTTTAATTCAGTTTATTTCTATAGTGCCAATTCACATCATATCATCTCAGATCACTTTCCAGTTCACCAGATCATCCAGTCAGATTCGATTCAAAGTTTTCTATCTAAGGAAAACCAGCGGATTGCATCGACTCATTGACTCTTCAGCAATCCCTCACACTAAGCATGCTTGTCTTCTTTCCGGTCTGGCTCCGGAGGATAGTCTGGTTATCTTGGGGTTGCTAGCTTGAAGCCCAGGCCTCCATTTACGCAATCTGTGGCTATTTGGTTGTTCATCCACAATCTGGTGGGTTTGTTTCTTTTAGATCAGCTCCTTTGAAAACTGCTTTCTTTTGCATCCCGGATTGCTTTTTTTCTCAATCTGGTCGTTCAGAAATTAAAGAAGCATTTAGTCTCAGTTCTGATCCCAAGTCTGTTTTTTTTCCTTCTCTCTTTCAGACTCTAAAGCTATAGTAGATGGGAACCTGAAGCTGATCCTGGGATTGATCTGGACCCTGATCCTGCACTACTCCATCTCCATGCCGGTCTGGGAGGGCGAGGACCAAGAGGTGACAATGGCCTCTTCTCCATTTAACTTTGTCCCTTTTGAAAATACTTACATTTAGAAAACAGAACTTATAGTTGGGTTTTTCTTTTTTTAATGTTCAGGCAGAGTCAAAGACACCTAAACAGCGTCTGCTTGGCTGGATTCAACACAAAGTCCCCGATCTGCCAATCACCAATTTCAGCCAAGACTGGAGGGACGGGAAAGCACTGGGAGCTCTGGTGGACAGCTGTGCTCCAGGTAAACCAGTCAGTGGGATGTTTAGTCATTAATCAGTAGAGCTAAAGACTACAATGAAGTAAAACTATGTCTGAAATTAGTTTTTTTTAAGAAGTTTCTCCAGTAAATGATCTGTGTGAACTCAAATATTCAAGCTAAGGTTGCCTAGCAACATCCAGCCAAACTATGATGTTTTAGGTGGATGATGTTTTTAGAACTGATGTTTCTGCTGTTTCCCCAATGGTTTCGCTCTCAGGTCTGTGTCCAGACTGGGAAACTTGGGACTCGGTCAGACCGGTGGACAACGCTTCTGAAGCCATGCAGCTGGCCGACGACTGGCTGGGCATCCCTCAGGTGGGTCTCAGGTGGCGCTGGGCGGGGCAGAGGAGTGTCAGCAGAACATCTGTTGTTCTCTTATAAACCATTTAGTTTGTTGGTACCCACTGACGTTGTTTACGATTAGAAAAATCCGACTAATGCTTTATTTCTGCAGTGTGGAAACGGTTGGAAAGTTTGTTTTCATTTTGCCAAAACATGAGCTATTTTTACATCATTGTGATGCGTTAAAAACAAAATAAGCGGATAGTGCCTTTTTATACAAACTGTAGTAATCTGAATAAAATTGTCAGACTAAAAATGTGTCATTGAAAAATGCTGATTAGACTTTTCCTGATGTCACTTTGTCTTTGGCACGTTTTAGATGATTAGAACATCCAGATTTTATTTTTCTACTTACCAAGGCTCAAAGCAATGATTGGTGACCTTTAATCTGTGAATTTTAGGATGGATGGACAAAGAAAACATCCCAGTGTTTGGATAACTCGAAGTTGCCAATTGTTTGTGTCTAATTCACGGCCTTCTTGACAGAAGGCACCTTGACGATTTTGACCAGCCTATGCCTGACGTACGAAAAATCTGGCAAAACGTTGCCTGTAACTTATTCAACTGGCATACGTTGGATAAGTTACAGGTCAGTTGTGTAAAGGTTACGACCACGCTGAAGCACGCTGGCACACGTCGACATACGGCAAGTACGTATGCCAGCATGCGCCATACATGGGGCATAAGTTACAGCTAGTTATCTGATCATTGACGTAAGTTAAGTGTAAGTTTCTTTCTTTTTCTTTTATATACCAAGGCTGATATGATTAAACGTCACTAATTGTTTGAATAGAAAAATAAATCAGGATGTTCTAATCATCTTAAAAGAGGTTTATATATATACCGTAAATTCTCTAATATAGGCCCGGGCCTTTATTTCACTCAAGTGCATCGCGGTCCAGGCCTTTATTGGATAGAGGCCAGTATTAGA